TGTATATATATATATATATATATATATATATACAGTGAGATAAGCTTCAGGCCAATCTCAATTTATGGCCATGATAATGTTGACAAATTATCTGTGAAAGTCCTTGCTCTTTGACGATCCAGTTTTACAGGTGTTAGCCTTACATCAGATTCCACAGCTGCCCACCACACTTGCAACACTCTGGATACCATCAACGTAACCTTATCTATATTACTAGCTATGAGAAGAGCAAGATGTTTTTTATCATCCAAAATTCCACACTTCACAGAGTCGAAAAGATGAATCAACTGGTATATCTTACTTTTAAATTGCGAGAAACTGTTGTTAGGTCGGCAGTTTTCTGAAAAGGGACAAGATAATCTAAACGTCATAACAAATTTTAATGTTTGAAAAAAAATCAAAAGGCTTAACTTATTGATCTTTATCATGGAAAATAATAACAAATATTTGTTAAGAAATACTTCTGAAGTCTTCTATTAGACTTACTGCATTAATCGATCATTTACCAGTGGGAAAATATATTTAATAATGAAACTTTTGCTTTTACAACTTCAATTTCGTAAGATACTTAGAACTGGAATTCAAGAAGTATTGCTTTAAGCTTAATACCTTAAGAATACTTTCAACAGATATGACGCCATCTTATAAAACAAAAACATTATATTAATAATAATATGTGTATATTTGGTTAGTTTCACCAAACAGACACTAAATACTAATTAACTATTGACCAGTTACAGAAAAATATTAGGAGTGTACAGGATTCTGCCTTTAAGTGTAAAACCGTCTTTGGATAAAACATTAGCAGCAACAAATATCATCTCTGTATTCACAGAAAAATCACCAAATATATAAATATGAATATATCTATCGTATTATAATGATATATATACATAGGCCACACTAAACAAATAGCTCGAAAACTACAAGTAAACTGAGCAAGGCTGGCAAGTGAGTAAGAGTGGAAAAATTTTTCTGCCGTATACGTGCACAAACATTAAGATTAATTAAGCAGAACTCAGCTATGATATATGTTTTGAAATTGTATTCAAAAATTTTACACAACAACATGAACGAAAACCCATTAACAGTGATGTATCATCAAACATCTGGCTGTACAAGCAATCTTCACTGTAAAAGAAACATAATGTTAAACAAACACACTAAACATTATTTGCCATCACACAAATCCTATTTAAAACATTACATTGTTCTTATTCCAAATATTTTTATTCATATATATTAAACATTATTTGTCATCACACAAATCCTATTTTAACAATTACATTGTACTTATTCCAAATATTTTTATTCATATATCAACAACAGGCATGTACTTAGGGTTGTCAAATGAACTGCTACACATCCAAGTATAGTTCAGAGTTTGACAGTGAATTTTAATTTGGCTATTTAGGAGCCGCTTCGAATAGGTATAAGGATTTGTTGCCTTATTTTGCTAATAAAAGCATAATATGTTTATAAAAGAGAATATTAATGAACAAAATGGAAAGTTAATTCTTCTTATATATTTTAAACCCTTGAGATACAGCGTTCTAATGATTCCAACAATATGTAATAATTGATTATATTTCCAGCGGAAGTCATGAATCAAGTAAGGAGCTATGGCTTTAAAAATTACACTACTTTGCCCCAAATCCTTCCTGTTGTAAAATATCATAGAATTAATTCTGTTCGTAGCGATTACTTTCTTGGGGTCTCTTACGTCTATAGAATAAATGTGCAAAAGCTCAGCTTTTTGATACGATTTCACCTCTCTAGTGTTTTCCACTTCCCGGACAGATTGCGCACAAAAGTCCATATCATAGAAGAAAAGTATATCACGAGGGTTGATAGTTCCTGTCGAAGCAACGAAACGGAAATCACAGATATTCACAAACGAAATAATTTCAAAAAGGAGCGCATTCTAACAATATTTTATAGTTTTAGAGTTATTAGGGGTGAAGTACTGTGAAAAGTTACCATTCTTTTATTATCGGGGTAATTCATTCTACTACTACTTATAATTTCATCACATGCGACCACACTAATCAGTTGATATGTGTACCAGACAATAACGATGGTTAAGAAAGGAAAATATAAAAAAAAAACAGGTAAGTACATATCCTAAACAACAACGTTCATTGTTATTCATTCTATTACGTAACGTGAGAATGAAAAATTATGTAATAATAAAAACGAATTGAATGAATGTATTCATTTATCGATGTTACTCAATAAAATTTAGCGTTCTTATAGGTCTACATCCTCGTTCTTTGGACCAGGGTTGTTTAGAATGTGTGAAAGGCTCGCGAATAGACTTTGAAAATAGATAATAGTTTATGCATATTTTAAGTTTTCATTTATTTAGTAAGCCAAATGATTTTTGCATTAAATCTACTTTCTTGTTCGCAACTAGCCACCGTTGTTTACAAGTGGGTCCTGAGCCAAAACGAAAAGGTTGAGAGCCTCTTCTTCTTCTTCACACATCAACAGCAACTCTGGTTTTGTAGATGCCAGAAAGCTTTTCACGTTTCTTGCAAATATATTTTGAACAGATGAAGAACAAATTTAAATATGTCCAAGGGATTGGTAACCAAAGACCCCTGAAAACTTTATTCCAACAGATGAATGGTGCAAAGTAGTAAAATAATTATAAATATATAAGAACACCTAAGCAAACAGTAACATAAAGTAGAACACGAATCATATAAATAACTTTCGCCCAACTTCTGAAAGATGTAAAAACACCCTACAATAACATTGCAATTAATGGCCATGGCAGTGAGTTAGAAAAAACTATGTACAATTAGTATAATATGTATATCATTGTCCTTTTAAGAACGCGTTTTATGTTATGAGTTAAATATAAAACACAGTGCTCCTGTAATACTGTGTATCAGTGTAAGAAATGTGTATGAGGTCCTTTTTGTGGCTTCCATGCAACCTAATGAAAAAAAAGATATTCAAAACTACTTTGGAAGGGTCCTTTAGGAGTAAGATACTATCTAATGCTCGGGGAAGTATCAACTAAACACGATTAACGTCAAGGGTTACTTAATACTGATGTTGCAAAACACTGTGCTATTTATTACACTTGTCTCAGGCTTGAACTACGTTGCATGTAAATGTCTTGCCCAAATTGATACAAGTGTTTCATAACTGGAGAAGGCAGTGGAGCCAGGTTAGGGCTTATAGATTCTGTGTAAAAATATTAGATGATCTATAACCCCATTTACTAAGAACTTTACGTGTATACCAAGTATTATGTATAAGAATAAACAATAAAATGTCTAGTTAATATTTCACGGTGAAAAAAAAAAATCATGCTTTTTTGATATGCAAATACAAAACACTAGAGATGTTAAATTTAATGTGAAGGTGCATATCTTTTGAGTTATAAGCGTCGGTTTTTAAGAACTAGAGGCTTGATCTAGAGACCAAAAGTATATATGCTGCTCAGGTGGCTTAAAGCCTCCTTGAGACAGCGCCTAACAGAACTGTCACGATGGTAGTTTTAAGAATCGAATATGTGTAGTTTAAAGTAAAATATCATGATACGTGATATACTCCACGTGATATATCTTGACGTCTAGTCGAAACCTTGCAGAAAAAAAG